AGTAGTAATCGAGCGGATTCAAATCCGGCGAGGACGGCGGCCAAAACTCCTTCGACCAGAACATGTCCAGGTGTTCGTCACACCAGTTCTGGACGATGCAGCTGTTGTGAGCCGGCGCGCCATCCTGCTGGAAGACATACGGCCGGTCGGCGGCCACCTGGGTGATCCACGGATGCACCACCGTCTGCAGGACTTCCAGGTACACCTGACTGGTGATCGTCTGGCCCTTGTCAAAGAAGTGAGGCGGCATGACATCACCTTCGCTCGAAACAACCAGCAGCGCGTGCAGGGACGCTGGATGCTTGGTTGTCATGACGATGGGGACATCTTCGGGATCTTGTGCCAGCCAGCGGTCGTTTCTGCGGTTGAAGGAGGCATCGACGGTGAAGATCTTTTCGTCGCTGAAGAAGCGCAGACGGCCGGATGCCTCGTGCTTGAGCGTTGAAAGCAGCAGGTTGCACTTGGCCAGTCGCTTCGCTTTCATCGGCTCCGTAAGCAGCTGTCGCACCTTCAGCACGTACGAGTGGTAGCGCAGATCCTCTCGGATTGCGTTGATGATAGTCTGATGCCCAACGTTTAGCTGGGCGGCCAGATTTCGCATCGAAGTGCTCGGATCGGCGTCGACGAGCTCTTGCAGCTGCTTGATGTTCAGCCGTAACGCGAAAGCCGTGAGCCTAGCTAGCACGAAGAACGCCTCTCTGCAACGGCTAGGTAGAAGAAGCAGAAGCCGTCGAAACTTCAGCCGGCGCTGAGCTATCTGCCAGCTAAAGCCCTTCTTCGTGAACTCGATGATTTCATTCGGCGTGCGGCCCGCACGAAGGCAGGTGATGATGGTGGCACGGCGCTCTTGTTCCACCGACATTTTCAACTTTGGTTCTGCAAATGGACACAGCACAGAGTGCCGAAAATATACCTACAGTATGAAGGTTCGTGCTTTGATAATCAGGGAGCTGTGCAAGTTTAAAGTCAGTCCCAATTTAAGCGGACCACCCTGCACATGTCGAGGACTCCAGAGTTCCAACCCTATTTCATATATTTACATCATTCATGGAGCTGGTGAACTTAAAGCAAAAAGTATTATTCCAACCTTGCTCCAGCAACGTGAAGCTATTGACAACGTGACAGTCAAAGGAGTGCAGTTAGCAAAAAACCATTTGACATGACAGAAAAACGAAACGAGTAAAAAACCTGTAAATTTTGGGAGCATAGAAGACAGTTTACACTCAAGGGTTCAA